CATGCGGGACCCTCCTCTGGTGGCCGGGGAGCAGCCGGGGATCGAACCAGCGCTGCAGAGGCCGTGGGCAGCTTCGCAACCCAGCATTCAAGTGCTGCGCCACCAGGGAGGCCCTTAAGGAAATTTTTAAAAGTGAAATTGTTTTACAATTTAAATAATTGGATTCAACCACTAAGTTAATAATTTTCAGCATTTGTAGAATTGTGACACAATTGTCCTTTGCTCAAACTTACTTTTCAGTGTTGTGTAAATACTTACATTAACTTTTAAAACAGCTTTGAGAGTTTATGACACAAAAGTCAGAATACTACAAAATTGGGACTGGGAATTGCTTCATGGAGAAGAATTGCCTTTCTTGTGGAAAAGCAATTATTTCAACATGATGGGATATGAAGACATCTTTTGATTGGTTATACTGTGTAAATACATTTACATAGATGACTCATAATTAAATTCTATATATTCAAGCAGGCCTCCTTGGTGGTCTAGTGGTTAAATCTCAGCACTATGACCTCTATGGCCTGAGTTCAATCCCTGACCACGGAGCTAGCCCACATATGGCGGAGCAGACCTCTCCTCTCTCACCCACTGCTTCCCTTAGCAGTGTATTTCAATACATCTGCCTGTTCAGCTCCCCTCTCTGTCTGGTGAATGCTTTCAGCCCCCACACCTCTGGTCTAGACCCCAGTTCTTCTATGCAAAAATTCACTGGAGAATGCATCTGAAAAATTAGAACATAATTAGGTCAGGTAATAGTTTCTCCCAAGATGCTCTAAGTATGATAAATCAGCAACTTAGTTTTTCCATTCTTTTGATCCTAAGTTGATCATCTTAGAATTATGATTTTTAAATTAAAGAAGAGAAAGCTCAAGGGGGAAAAACATGTGGCCTGACCCATAGGAAGAAGGCTGTGGGGATCCTAGTCAGGTTTTCAGCTAGGTCTGTGATGCTTTGCCAAATCAATGGAGTTAAAACCTGTACTCGTATACCCTAGAATTGCTAGTCTTTTCTGTAATCAAATCAGGCTTAATTTTTTATGGTCTCAATAAAACATTCAAGTAATTATACAGTTCCATTCATACATAGCCTGTTTCCAAATGGCAGGCTATATCGCACAGTGAGTAACAGTGATTCTGGGTAGAACATGAGTAGTTTCTTTAGCTCAGGAGGTGAAGATCATGGAGCAATATGCTTCCAGGGGTTGTACTGTGTAAAATACATTTACACAGTAAATATATTCCTTTCTCTGGCACCCTTGGATCAGCTTCAGATGTGACTGATCCTGCCTCAGCTCATCCATATTCCCTGGAAAGATCTGTACCAGAGGGTTTAGATAGAGTCATATTGACCTTATCCTGGTTCAGATATTTATGTTTGCTTTGGAAAGGGTTCCCTCTTCCCCTTGCATCTGCATCTTCTAGTCCTTCTCCTCTTTCTCCTCTTGCTCTGGACTCAGAGACACACAGTCCTGGACATCCCAAACATACCTTTCTTGATCTCTCAAGAGCCTAAGTAGCAGTTTCCAAATCAGGATTTACTTCAGAATCCTTTGGGACACTTGTAAAAGTGACAGGTCTCAGATTTTACTTATTCTGATTGGAATCTATATAGCTGCAGAAGTTATAATGAACAGATAGACAGAAACCATTCATTTGTTCATTCATTCATTCCACAGTTATATACCTGGTTATGTACTAGGTGCTTAAGATCTAGATGTTAATAGAAATGAGTTTTGCCTAAGGAATTTGTAGACTGGTTGAAATTAAGTGGAAAAGATGAATGATACAGAAGAAGAACTTAACTCTGCTCATGAGACTTAATAGAGGTGGTCAGGGACAAAAGTTTGCTGGACAGATAAAGGCATTTGAAGCAGAGACACTAAACTGTGTAAAGGAATGGAGATGTTGGAGAGGTCAGCTTGTACTGGGAACTCCAAGTAGTTCCTCATGTGTGCATGTGGAAGAAGGCAAGCAGTAAAAGTGTTGAAGAAATAACAGAAGAAAAATTTCCAGATTTAAAAGACATGAATTATAGACTGAGAGAGTTCACTTAGTATCCTGCCAATGAATAAAAAAGATACTCGTAAGCATATCCAATTAATTTTCGGATTCCAGGGATGAAAAAATGATTCCTAAAGATTTCAAAGGAAAAAGTACTTTAAAAAGGATTAGTACCAGGGTAGCAGCAAACTGCTCAACAGCCACATTAGAAACTTGAAGACAGTGAAGTAATACTAAGGAAAATTATTTCCTCCCTAGAATTCATCCCAAGCCAGGCTACCAATCAAGACATTTTAAGACACATGGATTCTCAAAGAAAATTACATTCTCTGTACCTTATTTAAGAAGATGATGGGAAATGTGTACTGTTTAAACAAGGAAATAAATAAGATAAAGAAGCCAGGATTTTCTAAATTCCTGCTTTGAGTGAGACAATCTGGTATTTTTTTTTTCTTTCTGGCTTATTTTGCTGAGCATGATCCCTTCCAGCTCCATCTATGTTCCTGCAAATTGCATGAGTTTATCTTTTTTTTTTTTTTTTTTTTTTTTTGGTGGGACCCTTGCTGGCGGCCGGGGAATGAACTAGTGCTACAGAGGCTGCAGGCAGCCTCGCAGCCCAGCGCTCAACTGCTGCGCCACCAGGGGAGACCCGAGTTTATCTTTTTTGATTGCTGAGTAATATTTCATTGTGTATATATACCACATCTTCTTGATCCAGTCATCTAAATAAGGGACCAGGAAAAAGACGAATTGTAATAAAGAGAAAAATCAAAATCAACAAGCAACTATAACCAGAGATACACTACGGGGGGAGAGGGGGTGAAGAGGAGGGATTAGGGTCAGAATAAGGGGGGGTGGGAATTGTATGGGGAATATAACCAAAATGAAAATGCATACATTGTGCAAAAATGAAAAATGATGTAAGAATTATATAAAATAAAATAAAAAATAAGAAGCCGGGAGATCTAAGGAAAGAGGTTTCCACAGAGGAAAAGGTGAAAATAATTCCTAGGATGATGCTAAAGGGCAGAAGACTCAGTCTATTTCAGGCCTACAAGACAACCTTTCTAACTAACTTGAATCAAGATAAAGGGCAGAGGAGGAATAGCTTTAAGAAAAAAATAGATTCAGAGATGAAAATTCTTGATGTTTTTACTTTATCGAGAGGAATTTTGAAGTATTGGGGACAGTATGATGAGGTGAATAAGTATTAGGGTGTTTAAAAAACTAAACACAATGAAAACAAAACAGAGCAACCAGTAACTCCAGGAGAAACAAAAAGTTATCCAAGAAAGGAAAAGTTATTGAATCCTATATAGTACTTCTGGGAATAATAATTACTTTATCAGACTACTATAAACCCTAAATAGTGACTTAGCCAAATGTTATAGAGGGAAGCTGGAAGGGTTGGGCAAATGTAACATATTTGTATGCAAGAATTAAAGGTTGTTTTACAGAACTAAATTCTTCTACAGAGAAGTAAATAGATAATATCTAAGTGGAATAATCAAAACATAGCAAATTAAATACATTTTTTAAAGAATTATGGAGGTAGGGCCTCCCTGGTGGTACAGGGGTAAGACGCAACCCATGAAGCTATCCACAGCCACTGCAGCATGAGTTCGATCCCTGGCCAGGGAGCTATCCACATGGCTCAGCAGACCTCTCCTGACTTGCCCGCTGCTCCCCTCAGCAGTGTATTTCAATCAATCTGCCTGTTCTGTTCCCCACTCTGTCTCTGGTGAATCCTCTCACCCACACACACACATCTGTGGCCTGTACCCCAGTTCCATTATGCAAAAAAAATAAATCTTTTAAAAAAGAATTATGCATGCAAATACCATAAGAAAATGCTGGAAGAATTGAAATTATTTCCCTTTGAAAAGATAATTGGGTGTGGGGAGGGATAGGACAGGGGAATTTGTTTTTCTATTGGGTTGTTGAAAAAGTCATGACACATTTTTGCTTGAAAAACAGAAAAAATGCGTCATGACTTTTCTGATAACCCAATAGTATAAGCTTCGTGTCCTAATTCTTTTGTGACAAACCCAAAAATAATTCATATATAAAATCTAGACCAAGCATCTGTAACATTGAGGGAATATTGCAAGTGGTATTTTACATTTTATTAAACAAACTATGTTGCATATTCTATATCCCTACCTTTGACATATTCTTAAATTTTATCCAAGCTATGGGTTATGAAGAATGACTACTTTCTTACCTGGAGAATAGTAAATCTCCTTAGACTGCAGATATTATCACTACAATAATCTCTGGGAGGAGCAATCTGTTCCTCTGGAAACAAGCATAATATTTTTTTAAAACATTCTTGGCAGAGTTCTGTGGATGACTTAATGTATTGTAATCAAGGGCAAATTTTCTACTCTTTAATTAAGTTCTGCTACAGTATACAGTCCAAGGAGGTACTTCTGGAAAACACTTGGCCAGCTTTTCTGTCATCCCTGAGCTAAACATTTGCTTTTGGTATCTAAATGCTGATTGCACGTTCAGTTTGCAGCATTTGGGCTGTCTTTGTGCCAGGATGCTCAGTTGCTTAGGTTACGTATATTTTGTGTGAAGTGAGCGCAATGTGGAGAGATGGCATGCTTCGGATACCAGAAGAGCTATGTTAGCTTGCTGTTGAAAGCACGCTTCCCGCTTGTCAGGGCTTCATGATAGGGACCTGGTGACACAGTAGCCTGTAAGCAGAGCTCCTTGGGATGTGCAGGAAGTGCAGGTTTTGTCAGGGAGGAACCTGAGCCATTTCTCTGTGGATAGCTGTGTTTCAAAGTCTGGACTAGTTGTTGTTGGATTCTGCCTAGACTGCCAGGGTAAGTGTTCTTATTTTTGAGTTGTTTATAGTCTTGCTTTCCTTCCTCCTGTTAGCGCAGCTCTGTTTAGAAGTTTCAGAGGACTTGCATATTATCTGAAGTGGGATTCAGAGGATTCATTTGAATATATTTGTGTTCCAACTTTTCTTTTTCTTTCTTTCTGCAGATTTTGTGGAAGTCTAATACTTTGTCATTATGCGATGTCGTCTCTCGGTGCCTCCTTTGTGCAAATTAAATTTGATGACTTGCAGTTTTTTGAAAACTGCGGTGGAGGAAGTTTCGGGAGTGTTTACCGAGCCAAATGGATATCACAGGACAAGGAGGTGGCTGTAAAGAAGCTGCTAAAAATAGAGAAAGAGGTAAGTTCTTTCCCTACTATCCGAAATGGTCACATTAGCACTTATGTAAGTTTTTCAACCTAGAATCAGAGGTCACAGGCTCCCAGGGACCTAGGAAGACCTTTGGGGCTGAGCTGTGAGGCCGTTTCTCAATTTCCATTCTGGGAGCCCCATAAATAGAAATCATTGTCGCGTGTACTTTAGGGTTGAGTTCTACTAAGGGTCATCTGAACTGAAAGGATTTCTTTCCATGGCCTGACAGACCGAATATTCTCTGAGCTCTCAGAGAGGCGGAGGTGAGGTTTCAGACTTGGGTGCAGGCTGTTCCCTTCCCTAGGTCAGCCAAGAGGGGTCAGTAAAGGGTAACATGTAAAATTTTCATCCCCTTTCCATTTTCTGTCTCTGAATCTGTGGTCCTTAGCAGTTGTCTTTTCAAAATTAAAAAGTGCCATTTCCCCCACTAAATTATAAGCAATATTAGCTTCTTGGATTTCACCTCTACAGTCAGGGATTTTAAATTAGCAGGTGCTAGATGGAGAGATGCCCTATTCATAAAATCAGAGAAGAATCTGGACTTTCAGAGTCTGGGATTTTTGCTGGTCCTTGGACTCATACACAGGCCCTTGGTCTTTCTTCAGCATGTGACCCATCATCCCCCCCATTCGGTTGGTGCCTGGAGAATAAGGCTAATTGCAGAGCTGACCTGCAGGGGCTCAGCAGCGCTGGTGACTTTGAACAGTACCTTCCCGAGTTTGTTGTGGTCATTTCTATTTATGTTCCATTTTGGCTAATTATTGTTCTTTTCAATATCATTTAAAAGTGAACTTTTCCATAAATATCCTTCAATCTCCCGGAATGATTCCATTTTTTTCATTAGCTGCTGCCAGTGAACCGTAGCAATTGATTAGAGAAGGAAACGCAAGTGGCAGCACTTGGCTGAGCCCTCCTCCCAGCAGCCTGCATTACTGTGTGATCGCCAGGGGCTTCCAGCTGTTGGGGTTGGTCTGAAGCACTCAGATGCCTCCACCTTTCAGTATCTGTAGATTTAAGAAAGCTTTGGGAAGTGAGAGCTTTTTTTTTTTTTGGTTGGACCCTCGCCAGGGAACGAACCGGTGCTACAGAGGCTGCAGGCAGCCTCGCAGCCCAGCGCTCAACCGCTGCGCCACCAGGGGAGGCCCGGAAGTGAGAGCTTTTAAAGCCGATGTGTGCACAACACAGAAAGGTACTAGGTAGAAAAGTTTCCTCCCTCTCCCATTCCATTTTATTAACCAGCGATTCTTAAAATAATACAACCACCTCTTACTCTGGACTGCACTAGCTCCCTTTATCTAGTGAATTCTGAAATGCTTTGTAGGCAACGTTACTGTGCCCATTTAATAGATTGAGAAATAGAGCTTTGAGAATGCATCAATCTTTTCTTGGAGGGGTGAGTGAAATCCAGGAGGGCAGTTTTTAAACTCGAAACTCCAGTTAACCAGGTAAAAGTAGAATATAAACTACTCCCATCATACTTATTTTCCAAGAAGTGTAAGATTTTAAAGCACTGGATCATGCAGCCTCAGTAACAATAAGCATGTGCTCATGTGATTGTTGGGTGTGAGACTTTATAAGACGTGAAACAGATTTTAAGAAGCATTGATTGCATTTACTAATATGTTTGTGGTTCACTCCTGTAATTCTTTAGGAATTTAAGAATAATTTGGGTGAAATTTATGTTTTATGAACTTAGTGAAAAGTGGAAAAACATAAACCAAAAGCTTTACTACTGCTCTTGTGAGAGGATAAAGGAAGACTATTTTCACCTTATTTGTAGGCCTGTAGTTTGTATTTCTTTTCTCTGCTTTCCTGAGTATGTTACTTTCCTACTGACAGAGGACAGGCCCCACGCAAGTAGTTCGCCCATTTTAAAACGTGAACTTTTAGGATTAATCACAACTGCCTCATGCTAGTCTTACAATATATTTGCTAATATGTTGAACCTAAAAGATCTACACATGGTATTTTTCTCTGTCTGAGAAATGGGACCTGCAAACATTTGTGTTAATATGAAATCTGTTGACTTTCAACTGATAATAGAAAACCAGACTTCAGTATGAGAGCTGAAAGAAAACATGATTCTTGTTATTTCCCCAAAAGGACTGAAAGGAAGCAGAATCCTCTAATGGTGAAAAAGGAGACCTTTTCTTAATTTGTCTTGCCTTTTGCAAGGCAACACTCCCTTTATTTAAAAAGATAAATCCTATCAAATTTGACCATTGTAGAAATGCTGAATGCCAGTGAAGTTCAAGTATCAGCATTGTCTCATATTGTAAATATTAATGAGAGGAGATCAAAATGTCAGAATTGGTTATGTAAAGGGGAAGTATCAGTGCCAAATGGAAAATACAATCTTAAAGTTGACACAGAACTCAGAGAGAACTAAAAGCAAAAGCTTTTGTTGTAGAGATGATTGCTATAACAGCATTTAGTACTTCAGAGAGGGCTAGTTAATACCATTACTATCTTACTAGCTCATTAGCATTTTCCTCTTCTTAGCAATATTGTAGCTTCTTTGTGGCTTTTTATTCATGAATTTTTGGCATTTGCTTAATTTGTTGGAATGTCCTTTTACTATTTTCCCCTACCCCTGAATACAATAAAGACAATGACTACATTTACTTTATTTGTAAATCCTCTCGGTATTTAAATGTTTTGGTGATACTAATACAGATAAAGCTTAAATATATTGGCTAGTTCACAACTGCCCTTTGATTTCTGATAGTTTCTGTGATAATTTGTCCAAAATGGTGCTCAAAGATATCCATGTGGGGTTTTTAAATATCAAGAAGGCTGACTTGACTATAGCTGAGCTAACCTTGTAAATTGCTACTTTCAAGTGCCTCCTCTCAGTGCCTGACTGGTGGGTTAGAGCATCTCCACACACATGCTTGCATACCTCACTCATCTCTTCCCCTTCACTCAGGAGTTCCTTCATGAGTTACTGTTAAATGCAAATGTTTTCTCTCCCCAATCAGAATGAGCCCACTCTAGATTTCACCCTTTAAGGCAGTAATTCTCAAAGCATCAATTGAGCATCACCTAATCTCACTGTAGACCTACTGAGCCAGCAATTCTGGTGAATGGGGCCCTGCAATCTGTGCTGTAATGGGCTATCCAGGTGTTTCTGGAGTCCACTAGAGTTTGAGAACCACTGCTTCGAGTTGTGTGTAGCACATCATGTGTGAAACGCAGACTATCAGGTTTTAACTTCATTTTGGAATTTTAGGTACCTTGTCAGATGGGTGGTGAAGAGGTTTTAGTTGTTGGAGACTTTTTAAACCCTTAAGTTGGCCCTGTGCCAGCGAGCACTGTGCACAGGCCTTGCCTGGCAATGCCATTGAGCACAGTGAACTCTGGCTGACAGGTGGCCTGCAAATTCCAAACCTTCCCCACTTGAGTGACTTTGTAGCTTTGTCTTTCATTTGCTGACCTGAACTCTGCACTTCTGCCCGACTCCTGCTATCCTACTTTTCCATTGCAGTAACCTCGTTCACATTCTTTCCTTCACCTGTAATACTTTTGTTTTCTCTGCCTGGGCAGATCCTACTTCCCTCTCTGTGGAACATTCTCAGGTCACACAAGGATAATTTTCCTTTTTCTTCTGAATTTATAGCAATTAACACCCATACCACTAATTTTACACGTAATGCATCCTGCCTGGTGATGTTATTAACACTGTTGCTACATAAATTTTCAAGTGAACATGCTGTGTCTTCTCATCTGCAAAGTGGGGCTAATAGTAGTGTCTATAGCATAGGTTTGTCTAGATGATTAAATGGGACAGCACACATAAAAAATCCAGAAGAGTGCTAGACGCATAGGAAGACTTGTATAACTGTTAACTATCAGTGTGTCTTCACTGCTATACTACAGTCTGGATAACAGATAAAGAAGACTGTCTTTCGGAAAAACTTGAATTTGTTGGTTCCTAGAACCTTACATTGATAGGAGGTCAGTGGCCAGCTATAGAGTGTGCAAGGAAGAGCCCCGGCAAGACACAGGTGACGGAGGAAGGATGAGGCTGATTGCAGCGTATTCCACCTCCTAGTCCAAGCTCTCTTGGTTTTTATCGCCGATAAAACCTGCCTAGTCTGTCACCAGCCTAGTCGTAATCTCTGTAAGATGATCTCTTGGTTCAGGTCTTACTTTTACTGTCTTCATCTTCTGCACAGTCACTTTACAAAGTTATAGTCTCCATTGGGCATATTATAAATTAAGGCCCAGAAAGGGCAAGCAACCTGGCTAATACAAGCAGCACCCTTCTTGCCTGCTTCACTGCACCCAGCACTGTGCCTTGCTCACAGTAAACATTCAAGTATTCTCTTCCTTGATACTTGGTATCATGTTGCAATAGATTTTCCTCTCATTTTCATCCAGTAAATGATATCTTGTACTGACACATCTACTCTTTCTTTAGTTACTCTCTTTGAAAGGCTAGAACACATCTGTATTTACTGTATCATTGGTTGTGATTTGCATTCACCTACATAGCAACAGGACTAAATTACCTTTGCTTTAAGGTACCAGATTAATTATTTTTATAAATACCCTTTTATTCCTTTTAGATGGGCATGTCATTTCCAGTTAAGGAATTTTAAACATTTCACTGTGCCATGCTTTGACTTTGTGTGATATGTAAATCATCACTTTGAATTAGAGAATAAGCAATTTAAATTATGAATCATTTTATTTGATAATTAAAGTAGTCATCATCCAGACATATATATTGAACAGCTATCCATCATTCAGTTCTTTTCTGTGAGATATTCGTCTTTTTTTTTTTTTAAGATTTATTTATTTATGCATACAAGAGCTGGGGTACAGGCCAGAGATGTGGTGGGGGGAGGATGGGGGGGAGAGGATTCACCAGAGACAGAGTGGGTAGCAGAACAGGCTGACTGACTGAAATACACTGCTGAGGGGAGCAGCGGGTGAGACAGGAGAGGTCTGCTGTGCCATATGGGTTTCTCCCTGGCCGGCCA